ATCCAATATTCACCAGAACCAGTTTCTTGAGCGGTAATTCTTTGCAAAGTATTAGGATTCACACGATTTTGAAATAACACAGCGTAATTCTGACCATTATGAATAAATCTAGTTGCATATTTGATAGCAACATTTACATCAGGAATGGAATAAATTCCATGTGTGAAATTAAAATTTCTATTTCTACCATAATTAAAACCGTCTTCGGCGATTGTATTATTATTATGACGAGAAGTTCCATGATACGATACAGGCCATTCATTTTGAACAGAATCAGTACCACCACGTTTAGAACGCATTCCAAGCCAAACATTGTCTCCATACTTATTGAGTACTTTAAGTGCGATACGTTTCCAACCGCAAGGTCGCTTATATTCAAATCCACCTCTCATATACGTCTTACCAACATCATTTTTATTGGTGAAATCAAAATCAAATGGAGGGTCGAGATGGTCCGAATGAATGTAATAAATTTCATTACCTCCTCTTTGTCTCAAGATTAAAAAAACCTCGGCATTCTCTGTAATCTCATAACTATCCACACTCCTACCATCATCTAATAAATACCCTTGAAATAAAAGGCGTTGAGATTCGGGAAGAATTCCTTGTTCATTTTGAACTTTTTGTTTAACTTGATAGATGGTTTCTGTTGGTTTCACTTTTATCTTGAATCCTTTGCCGCTCAAAGGTTTAATCGTGATGATTATTTCTTCACCATTGTCAGGACTTCCTTGTGGTAAATTTTGATTATTGTGATTATTTGGAACTGGTCCACCAACTAAATGAGATTGATGAAGTGCGTCTGTATCCAATTCTTTGTATGTAACGTTTCCTGATTTACGATCAATAAAATCTTGAAGGGTTATAACTTGATTATTTGATATCGCTGACATGGCAGCTGCAAGAATTATAGCATTTTCTGAGGCCATAATTATCGTTTATAATTATTATTATTATTATTATTATTTTATTTTTTTAAAAAAAATGGAAAGAAATGAAAAAATAAAAA